TCATATAAGTGAATATTATAAAAACTTAAATGGTAAAATGTTTGGATCTAGGTCCAATAAAAATATCCCAATAGAAAATATTATGAAACCCTACATTGTAAACTAGGTCCACTACTATGCCCTGGATGATGAAACCATGAGAACTTCATAGGGTCAGCCTTTATTACTCCAACCATTCCCCGCTCACTTAAATTTACATTTAAAATCAAATTTAACCCTAAAATTGAGCCCAAGAAAGATTTTAATCAAGAGTGTTATATGGTTGCAAGAGTAATTAACTAAGGGAGCTTATTCCAATATAAAGTATCAAGTTCATGTCTAACATAACGCTAAAACAACATCAAAGGAAATATTGTTTAAGAAAAACTACTCTTAAAATCTCAAAAATTCATGAGAGAAAGGGTCGCCATCTACTCAAAAGAATGGAAACTAAATGAAACTAATTAAAAAGGCAAATAAAAAAACTAACAAGAAAGAGAATTAAATGAAATACATGGACAACAAGAGAACTTCTATCTTGCCTAAAACTCTAGAAATAAATAGGGGAAAAGAGAAACAATTAGAGGATGCCTAGAACTGTAGTTATTTTGGATGGTTGTTCCCATGTCTTAGTTCAATCATTGTATAATCTGAACACTCCCACATTAACAGTATTAATTGACTTACAAATGCTCATAACGACTTAATAGCAACCTATTAAGCTTATAGACTACTAAAACTACAAAGGACCCGATAACTATCCATTAAAATATTTGCATAATATTAGCCACATCTTCACTATGGTCTCGCAATAATGGTTATAAAAACTCAGAAAATAAATATTATGAATTTGGCAGGTTTTGAGCACTCATAAATGAATATGATGAATCTGATGAGATTTGTGATGTTAATAGACTCGAAAGCAAATTAGGGTAATCGAATATCCCTACAACTCCAACATTAAGGTCACTCGGAGTGACGATGTCTAGATTTGGATCATAAGATTCTGTGATGACAACTAAGAGACACCAGATCAAGTGAATGCTAAAAGAATTAGGTGAGAATCAAGCAAATTCTAGCGGGATGCAAAACATATGAGGCAAAAATAGGAGATCGACATTGGACCTAGAGTCAATGGGAGAGATGATGTCATTTGTGATATACCAAGAGTGAATGCGGATTGCAGCGAAAAGATTTAGAAGGCAACTTGGGAGATTTAAGTGTTGCAAAAAGAATTTAACTCAGATATAAATGGAAGAGGTCCTGGCAAATAGGACAACGGGTGATAGTGAGGCTAAATGAAAGCTTGAGTCACAAATAAAAAAGAAATTCTACTAAAATAACATTGAAATAAACCAAAATTTAAGGATTGCTGTGCAACTTTGAGCTTCTGTAAAAATTTAAAAATCAACATAATTCCAAGTATTGGGGGAAAGAGAGTCTGCTAAAGCTTAATTCATTCATTGCTAACACTAATACTCCCATATGAAGAGTATTTATACACTTACAAAACCTCCTAATGACTTCACAGCAACCTATAAATCTATGAAACGTCAAGAATCACAAGGACCCGCAAACAACCCATTGCATTTATTTGTAACAAATATCAACAATGTCGATTTGGCCATGTGTGGAGCCCCTTGCACTGGGACAGCTAAAATTAATATACAAACATGTAATTGTCAACGACGCCTAATGACTAATTATCACAGCTGTATTGGGTTGTTTCCATTTCCTGTTGTTTCTCTTTGGTTTCTTGCATGTGCATTTCTTCAAACCTTAGAACATTCAAACTAGTGCTGACAAAAAATTTTAACAGAAAATACTTGGCCTTCTCCAACCAGAACTAATGCTCCTAAAGCATTTCATAACCAATGAAAATAAATGGTTCCCACACTTTTATATGGCTGATGATATAGCTAGATGGAGACGTGGGGTGAAATTTTAACGTGCCAACTTTTTTTATTTTACAGCTAAGAAGTTCTGAAGAAATGAGCAGCAGAAGTTCCAAACATAACTATTCTTTCATCAAAAGCCTAAGGTACGTTTAGACTTTAGGAATTTTAGTGAAATGAAAAAAACAAGTCATTGGAAAGCCCCAAACAATGATTACAAAATTCATAATAAATCAATCATTTATCAGGATTTCACTTCCTTTCCTTCACCTTGCTTCAACCCAAACACAGCTGAATATATTTTAGCATATTAATCTAATGATATGGTGCCCAAACTTTTAATTGACAGTACCACCCAACTCTATTAACTTTCACAAAGATATTACTCTGGTTAGTCGGTAGAAAATTAAAGTGAATATTTAGTTATAAAAATTAAATTTAATTTCAACTTTTATTGAAATAACCGTTAAAAAAATTATGGTCAGCTGCACAGGGTAGAATCCTCAAAGATCAATACTTGCACATAATTACTATTGGAGGGGAAAAGAATGGGTCAACTTACAATTTTAAACAAGAAAATCTTCCCTAATAAACTTATAGATTAGGTCGAATACATACAAAGAAATGTATCACATGCCCTGTTCGAATTCTATTATAAGTTGAGTCGTCTAAGTACAAATAATAATAAACACGGTTAACTTAATGGCGTGTTAGTGACAACTTAGGGATTAGGGCAGTACAAAAAATGTCAAATATTAGGGTGTTGTAGCAGTGAAATCATAAGTTTAAATCGGTCTGAAAGTTTAAAAAGGTAAATCAATGGCTAACCTAAAGAAACCACTCATATATGCTTGAGAATTTCTCATTTAGCGAACCAAGCAAATCTCCTTAGATAAATGTCACTCAGAGTGCTCTGTTTGCTATAAAAATCTGTTGAAATTTCAGAATAATGTGGTGAAATACACTATGATTTCATTGATATGAACTAGGGTATAAATAACCCTTACAAGAACTCTATAATAGGAAAAATAATAAAAAGGAAATGATATGAAAGGAAAGATATATCATATAATATCTCCAATAATTAATTCATATTAATTATTAGGAGATATATGAAATAGCATAAAATAGGAAACCAAATAATTATTAATCTAAGGAAATAAATATAAATTAGGAAAGGAAACATCTCCTTATATTAAGGAAATAATTTATTCCTCATAACTTCTTATAGGAATAAATTATTTCCCACTATAATTCTTAACACTCTCCCTCAAGTTTGGAATGTATGTTAATAATTCCAAACTTGCTAAGTAGTGAAGAAAAATTGGTCGTTTGGATTGTCGAATTTGCTAGTTTGGCTAAATTTTCAATTTGTCTGTCATATGTTTCGGTGTAGAAGAGAGATTCATGCTTGGCTGAATTTGCTGGATTCATGCTTGGCTGAATTTTGAATTTTGTCTGTCATATGTTTCGACGTAGAAGACAGATTCAGGCTTGGCTGAATTTGTTGAATTCAGACTTTGCTGAATTTTGAATTTTGCAGGGAAAGAGACAACCAACCGCAGGAGAAATGGTTGGCTGGAAACGTAGCTCCCCCTGAGGCTTGGGCAAGAAAGAAAAAAAAGATGCTGCAGGAGAAATGACCGGCTGAAAACGCAGCTTCCCCTGATGCTTTGGCAGGGAAGAAAGATATTGCAGGAGTCCTGATGCTTTGACAAAGAAGAAAAAAATACTGCAGGAGGAAGGGTCGGCGATGGATTTTGCCGGCATTATTCGATCCACGGCAGCGATATCTCCGATGAGATGATGATGAGGCGGGTGGCGACATCGCTGGTGTCGCCTTGGCTGGAGCCCCATCGCTGGTGCAGGTATAGGAAGATACAACACAAAGTTTTTTTTTTTTTATGGTTTGTGGTGATGTCTGGCCAAACTCCAAAGCATCTTTGTTGTCATTGTTTCTTGGGAGTCGTGTACAGAAGTGAAGTAAGATCCCCTGACTTTCTGAAAGTCCTCGGAGAAGGAGAATCCTCCAAAACATCAGCCCATGCATTTCTAGGTGACGGAGGTGGCGAGTAGCCTCCACGGCGTCGTCTGAACGACGGACGACGGAGAATCACAAGGATGGACATCTTGTGGAGAATTAAGTCGGTGCTGATGCGGCGGGGGACCAAAAAAGCGAACAATCCGATGTCAAGATCGCTCCCTCCACTATTGCTGGCTGGAGGCTTAACGACCATGCTGCTGAGGTTGACGCCAATGCGCGGACTTGAAGATGGTTTGAACTCACGGGAGCACATCTTTGTGATTCTTTCCATGACTTCTGTAACCTAACGAGGAGGCGGGGAATTAGGGATTTGGATAAGAAGAAAAAATCGTCGTTTCAAATATCAAGATGAGTGTCCCTCCCTTCCTGCACAGAGGATGGCAGGAAGGGGGTCTGACAATTCTTAAAGGAGGACCGGTGGCTAGGGTACGAAACCTGTCTCTGATACCATGTTGAAATTTCAGAATAATGTGGTGAAATACACTATTATTTCATTGATATGAACGATGGTATAAATAACCCTTACAAGAACTCTATAATAGGAAAAGTAATAAAAAGAAAATGATATGAAATGAAAGATATATCATATAATATCTCCAATAATTAATTCATATTAACTATTAGGAGATATAGGAAATAACATAAAATAGGAAACCAAATAATTATTAATCTACGGAAATAAATATAAATTAGGATAGGAAATATCTCCTTATATTAAGGAAATAATTTATTCCTCGTAACTTCTTATAGGAATAAATTATTTCCTATTATAATTCTTAACAAAACCAATATTTTCTCTTTTAACAACTTCATTTCTAAATTATCCTGGTAAAAAATAGACTTAAAAAAAAAAGCAATATCCAACTGAATCAGAAGAGTCCCAATTCGATACACACAAGGATCTCCAAAGCCCTTCATAATGTCCAAAGGATAATGAATTATAAAATCAAAGCAAATACTACAGTGAACTTTGATACCAGATCAGTCTCCATAGATAAACCCTAAAATCCGATCAGGCGTAGTGAAGCCATAATCCAAGTTTTCGGAACATAAATAGAAAATCGTTTGGATCAAAAAAGAACCTTTAGCAGAGATCGTAAGCCCTCTTCAGTGAGCTGCATGTGGATCGGAGCTGTTAAAGCGATTGTAAACGGCTTCACCGACGAGGTAAACACCGAAAGCGACGAGGGCGATGCCAAGGCCGGGAGTGGCGTTCCTGAACTGATTGACGAGCATTGGATGCTTCCTCCATTCATCCCTCCTTTTGAAGAATTCACCAGTGGGTCCTAATGGCTTCGCCATTTTTCCCTTTCTTTCCTATTTCCACTCCCTCGGACCTGCCAAGAGCTTCTCTCCCCGTTATCGGCATTTTATGGTAAAGGAACTAAGGGGTGTTTGCGATCAATTTTTATTTTTTATTTTTTATTTTTTATTTTCTTATTTTTGAAAACAAAAAATAAGAAACAAATGAAAAAAAAATAATGTTTGTTTATCATTTTATTTTTTTAGAATAATACTTCATTTTTTAAAATACTAAAAAATATATTTTTGAATAATTTTAAAACACCAAAAACAGCGAGTGTCACAGCACATAGCCACGTACCGTCTGCCGCTCCCCGCTTTCCCCCTTGCCATCGCCGCCTGCTGATTGTGGTTGACCCTCGCCGGCAGCCCCTGCCTGCTGCCATCAGCCGCTGTCCAACGCCCGTCATCGCTGCAACCCACCACCTGCCCCGTCGCCCGCTGCCCGCACACCCGCACACTTGCAGGTAATGCTTCGTGCTGGGTGAAGCAAGCAAAACGTTGAATACGTCATGGGCGGCAGAGCTTAATACTGAAGCATAGGTAGATCACCTTTTATAAAAATTATATTTTCTTTCCTTAAAAAAAATAAAAAATGTCGAAATAAACATACTTTATATTTTTTTTGTTTTTAAAAACACAACAATCATAAAAGTATTAAATTTGTTTTCTAAAAACATAAAATATAAAATAAAACAAAATTAAATAGACTAAAAATAAAAAAATTAAAAAATAAAAAGTGATCTCAAACTGAACCTTTAGAAAATTTGTACATAATTGAGCATAAATATCCACTAAATATGTAATTATCCAAATTTAGTATGGTAAAATTATCATATCTAAAATTACACTTAAGACATCTCAAATTACATTTGGAAGGCTTTCAATAAACTTACTTTAGTCATGATTTCAATAAAGTTACTATAGTCTAGTAGTAGTTTTTCAATCAAGGGGTTTTGAGTTGAAGGCCTTGGATATGATTACACTTGCTCAAATTTTCCGGAAAACATATTTACATATATGTCACTCAATTCCTATGTATTTACATTTCCAACACCTAAACTTCAATCCCAGTACAAAGTGATTTTATTCCTATCTCATTCATATACTTATCCTTATTTTCTTCCAAAATTATTCATTTTTTTTTTTTTTGGTTATTTTGATTTGCTCTTCAAAAAAGATAAGATTATATCAGTGTGATGAATCGTGTGAAATTATTTAATTTGATTTTGACAGCCATGAATAATTTTTAGGTGAATTTATATACAACGTAAATATTATGTATTTACATACGTAATACATAAATTTTTATAGCAACATATACATAAATAATCACAATAAAAGTTTTACGTAAAAAAGTGCATTCATTTTTGAATAATATTAATAGTATTTTTGATGTGATTTAAAACTTTGACTATTATATAAGTAAATATAAACATATTGATAATACATGTTGACATCATTTTTGCATGAGGTCTATTTTGTTTCTTCTCTCTCTAAAACTTTGGATTTAACCTTAGGGTTTTCTTAATACCTCTTTCCTAGTGCCCTGTTGATGGAACCAGTACTAAGCTAGAATTTTGAATTACATCATCAGTCCTTATAGTTTCTTCTGTTTGACTTTGAATCCTTCACACTTTGTTGATTGAAGCTCAAGTTGAGTACATATAGACTTGATAATGCACTAAGTTACCCTTTGAACCTAGAGCCTTAAGCCTTCTATATGGTCCTTTTTTGGGTACTTTGTTGTCTCTTCTTTAAATTCCTTAGATGACCCTTTACTGGGTTCATAAAGATCACATTGGCTATGATGTTCATTTTGAGCTATGATAGGGATTATCTTTTAATAAAAAATAGGATAAAAATCTAAGAAAATCAAAACCATCAAAATTTCATCAAAACGACATAATAAAATAAAAATTGAAATCAGATGGAAACAAATTCACCTAAAATTACATTAAAATCCAAATTTATAATAAAAATTTTGAATTAACAATAAAATGAAAATGAGAATTAAAATTTGCAAATATTATCAAAATATCAAAAATAATTTAAAAAATATGACAAAATTCAATAATAAATAGAAAATAAAAATAAATTAGAAAATAATATTTTTAACATTTTAATTAAAATAAATTCAATAATAAAATAATTAAACTCAAAATAAGTTCAAAATTAAATTTAGAAAAAAATTCAAAAAATGGTCATCATTACTTTCACATGATGATTACTTAATAGAAGTCATTAAAAGAAAATAATAATAATAACATTTAAAATAAATAAATAAAATAAAATTTCCTTACACACCCTTCTACCACCCTCACATTTTGCTTTCAAAGCCAACAACCCACTTTCCACTCAAAATTCACTTTTCAAAATTTCTAAAATCACATTCCACTCATAATTCACTTCTCAAAATTCCCTAACCCCCCTACACCCACTATATCATTCACATTCATGACACAAATCACTTTCATTTTCAAATCATATTCATATTCAAAATTAAAATCAATTTCACCAAATTTCACACACACACACCCCTCAATCGACCAAACAATCCTACACCATAACTTCTAAAATTTGGTTTTCCCATTAGCCAAATAACCAACCAAAATTCACCCAAAATCAACCATACTACTACTTACCATCCACTTGCAAATCATAGCCAAATCTACTTAAATACAAAGCAAACCCCCTCAAATCAAGCCAAGCCAACTAAGTCAATTTGAAGCCATTACTCAAACCACTTTGGCTCAGTTTCAAGCCAATTGTTCTCTGAATCTAAACCAAGCTAAGCGAGCCAATGCCAAGCTAATTCCAAGCCAATTACAAGCCTTGCCAAGCTAAATTTAAGCCAACCAAGATTCATTCATTTTGAACCAATTATTGATCTAACCAACTCCTCTAAATGGTTCACTCCTATTGGTCACTCTCCAGACCTCCCTAACTAATTTAACCATCTGAGGGTTACACCCAGCTATCCTAACCACCCTTTAGCTTGCCTTGGAGACAGTCATCCAAGCAAATATATTAACTAAGCTCTGTGAAAATCATCTCTAAACCCTAGCCTAGCCTCTAGCTCATCCTCCCTTTCATTCTAGAGCCACACTTTTATTGATTACCCATGATTTTACCCAACCTGATCTAAGACAAATCCAAGTCCCTGCATCCACTCCCCAATCTTCTAATCCAAACACCCCATAAGCTTTCTTACACCCTAAAACCCAATCCTCAATCAAAATTCCAACATCCCAAACCATTTAGCCTACTCCAAGACTAACTCGTGTTAGCTCCTGAACAAGAACACATAGTGAATTCAAATTGAAGCAATCCAAGCTTAGGAGAGGTGCATGGAGCTCAACCAACTACTCCAAAGCCATCCAACCAAAAGAAATCATCCTAGATCAAGGTAATTGCATAAAACTAAGTCATAGAGCTCGGTAGTTGGTCCTTTCTAAAGGAAAACTTTAAATCATAAAGTTCTAACCTTGGGATGTCACCCTAAGGACCTAAAGATTTTATTAGACTAATAAGACCTTACAATAATGTGTAGGATCATACAAATCACACATTTTTTTTGCAGGCGGGTCACATTCATCATCCAATTTAGGATGATGATTGTTGTCATCCATTTCTATGTATTAAAAATGGAGGCCAGAGATTTGATCCCATAAAGAAACTATAAAGACTTCCTCACACATAATCGGAAGCCAACACAACATCCGCAATCATGAGCTAAAAAAATTGGAGAGCTCCATGTGCAAAAGCACTAATGGTGTGGCTAACGCTGAGGCTAAGGTGGCAACACAGGTCGAGTGTGCGTTAAATAGGAAAGCACCATATTTCCTAATTAAATAAATATGAAAAAACATAACTTTGGATATTCATAAATAAGAAATAAATATCATAAAAATAAAAAAGAAAGATATGAATTCAATGAAACATAAAGGCTAAAGTACATTAAAATTTCAAAATAATTAAATATTTTAATAAATTTAGATCACTTGAAGTCTCTGACCTCAACGAGTTCCTCTAGTTTTTCTTAGAATATAAACGAAGAAATAACCAACAGATGGTAATTTCATAGAGAAATTAACGATTAATTTGAAAAACAAATATAATAGAAAAAAGAGAAAAAAACAAAAATCAATATAAATTTTCAAGAAAAGCTTTTTTTTTTTTAAAAAAAAAAGTTTAACTAAAATAGTGATTTCATCAATCAAAACTCAATAAACACCTTTTAGGAATATAATGGTATATTTATAAATGAAAATTTTACACATTTAACTTTTTGTTTTCAAATTTCATTAAAAATAGAGAAGTATTTTTTCAAATTTAGATGCTAAGACTTTTTTAGCATAAGTAATGAAATGGCTAAGTTGCATTTTGATTTGAAAAGCAAAATTATAAAGAAGGGTCTATTTGTAAATAATTGGAATGTTGAAAAAACTACTTTTCATAAACCTTTTAATGTTTTAATTGATATCAATGGTTACATAATCATTTCATTCTCTGTCCAAGACCATTTCTTGAAAGTTTGGTGAAATCAGCAAATGGAATTAATAAAGATTCAACTGAAATTTGGTAAAATTTGGAAATAATAATATAAATCTACCATAGTGGTTAATTTGAATATGTAGAATTAGAAATTTGATTAAAATATAATTGTAAATCATTAAGAAAAATATAAATCACAAAATTTTAGTAAACCCATTTATAGAAAAGTAAGGCAAGGTATAATTATAATTTTTTAAAAATTTAAATTTACCTTTCTCCACTTTTAAATCCTTAAGTTGGACAAATTGAATACTAAAATCTCTGAAATCTAATCTCAAATGATTAATAACCAATGAAAAAGTAATAATTTAGTATGTTTTGGTTGTTAAAAGTGAATAAAGGCATATATATATAAATTTCCAAAATTACAAATATATCCCTATTGCTTTTAAACCACCAAAATGAACTTTTCAAAATTGGAATCTTCATAACTTGATTTTGAAATTACTAATAAGAAGTCAACAGTAGTTAAATAATAAAATTTTTTTTTAAATGTAAAAATTAG